ACTGTAAGAACAACATTATGAATACAGGGTGGCCAAAATGAGTTTACTCCATCCGATGGCTGTGCCCAGCCTTCAAGATAGGGTGAGGAGTTTTAAGTAGAATCCCTATAAGTTGACAATTAAGGTTTGGGCATCTAATTTGGACGCCTCCTTGGCACCTTCCATTTGACTTTTACTGGGCACAACCAACTGGTAGGAGACCTTGGAACAACAACCCGCTCTAGGTACTATTTATATCCCACCTGGCCTGGGAATGCCTTATGGACATGGACAGTGTGGCTGGGGAGAAGGATGTCTGAAATGCCCTACATAGCCAGCTGCCTCCACGACCTGATCTGGGATAAGTGAAATACAATGGATAGATGGATGGACGGTCGTATGTTCTTGGGTCTTTGCACAAAAGAAACAGACTGCTGATCATGATAAGACCAGCCAACGGTTGAATTTATCCTCTACTTGAACCTCATAGACTCTGAACTTGTGTTTGAAGTATGAAGAACTACTATTTTATTCAAAGCTGAGAAAAATAAACTTTGCTGGCCATGTTCATTGTGAGCAGGGAATATACTGAATATACTGACAGAGAGGTAATAGTATGGCTCATTAATACTTTTGTTCCTGAACAACATTTCATCGACAGTTAATAAGATAAACTACATGATGGTTGATTGAGGAGGAGATATCCTGAAATTAACCATGCTACATTCATAATTTCACTTTTGACTTACAAAGCTCAAGAAAATAGGGTGAAATCCAAAACCTGCAGGCCAAATGTATGTGTAGTTGAGTTAACAGCTCAATTAAACTATCTCCTGGACTACACTTGGAAGATTGAAGACGTATCACTTCTTTCTCAAGGGGCTTTATTAGTTTTACTGGCTGATGAGTGATCCCAGCCATTGAAAACCTCCCTAGGCTACGCAGGTAAAAGTCATTAAGGTTAGATGGCAGCCATGTGAAATTCCTTAGAGTCCCCAGAATCAAAGTATGAACTGAATCACAGGGGAAGAACATGAGTAAAGATGGGTTGCTGTTTGTTTGTTTAATTTGATATAGCATCCGTAGCCTCTTTTAAACTGTTTTCAACCCATCCATCAGGTCTGTGTATCCATAGCAGCTAATGTGTACATGAGGTTAAGGGAAAAGGCGTTTGATATGTATTAGAGGATGAAATAACCTGGCTGGTACCCAACCACTGGACCCCTCTGAACAGGCATAGATTTTGCCAGCCACAGATTCTTGTGATACCAAGTAATTGTATCCATGATCTATACCGATCATCCTTAAAGGGTCATGCAGGGGTTGGAGCTAATCCCAGCTCACATTGGGTAAGAGGCGGGGTACACCCTGGACAGCTCGACAGCATTTTACAGGCCAGGCATTTAGAGTCAAACAACCATTCACTCCCACATTCATCCATGCAGACATTGGGAGAGCATTTCAACTCCACACAGGAAGGCCTCGGTCGCCCATCAGGTTTGAACCCAAAACTCTCTTGCTTTAAAGGCAACACTAGTAATCACTGTTACACCGTACCACCCTACTAAGTACATCTTGTGCCAAATTCAGGCTGTGCCATCAGCCCAATAGTGGCCTGATCCCAATAGATGGGGAGGCATATGACTGCCAGGTGTAACAATTGCCACACGCATGTCCAGTGTACGTGAATGGTCAAGTGATATGCGTTTGCAGATGTGTTAGTATGGACAGGGATTATAACTGATTCGGATCTAAAACGCTCATGTGGACAGAGGTAGTTTAAACGAAAACGCATTAGCATGGATGTAGCGACAGTGATGCATTCACATGCCAAACAGAAATGTGCTCTTATTTAGGTGCTAACTACAATGCCTGTAACTACAATAACTGGGGGAAATGCATCACTTGCTGAGGGAGTGAAACCATAAAGGTAATGAGCCACTAACTACAGCAATGATAATTAACTGCAGTGCTTAGATGGCAAGTTGATACAAGGCAAAACATGCAGATCATGTTACTACATTTAATACAAGTCATGCTTTTAATCTTTAAATTCCTATTTTAAATGTTTAGAAAAAGTGGGAGCAGCCTCACTACAGTTTTATCTCTTGTGTTTTAAATACAGCTGGCACAGTGACCTCTAGAAAAGTTCACTTACTGTGTTTTCATCAGAATAATTTGCCTGTTACAGCCAAGCAGACATTTATTGTTCTTGTTTCGGTGCAGTCTGGCACACCTTCATCACTTGACCCTCTAAGAACAAGCACTGCAGCCTTTGTCTGATGGAATATGTAGCAATGGTCTCTCCTCATCCATTGCTTATTTCCTGCTGATGTCCGGAGTTTCCGAGCAGTTCTTTCCTACCCTGAATGAAGAAATCAATGCACACACAGGCCTCCCTAGTGCTCTCCAAACCATTTAAATTGGTCTCGGGCAGATAAAGATGATAAAACATGTATTCCTTTGGAGTGTTTTTATTCTTCACTTTTACTGGTTTCTTTGTCCCCTCTCCTTTCTCCTCACTATGGTTTGTACACACATCTCTTAAGGATTCATGCTCGCTTATGTCATGTGTTTGCGTTGCTTTTTACGTGTGTACTTGATTCTAACTATGCAAGTTCGTCTGTTTGTGTGATTTCACAGTCAGTCAGTCCCCGGGGCCTAGTTTGCACCTCACACTCTCAAGGCCTCTTGCCACTCACCTGCTTTTCACACATTGTTTTTGGTCTTGTGATCTTGTTAAGCCTCTTGATGTCACTCCACCTTTATCCACTGCCAAAAGAGAACAGCAACGAAGATGAATAATACAATGGAGTGCTGGAGTGTTACAGGAAAGTCAAGGGTTTCTCTCGATGTACAGTTGCTGAATTTGGAAAGAACTGCTCAAGCAGTGGCAAAGGGTAAAAATAAAAATCAATTTTGTTATCCACCACTCGAGTGTTGATTACACGAATACACAATTGGAAGTCATAGCTACTGTGCCATCTGTACCGTGGCACACTAAGAAAATAATCTATTTAATTTCCCTGGTGACCACAGGTGCTATCATTTATCTCATCCAGAGAGACTTCTAAAGTAGATAAATGCACTTCTGAGAATGAAATAAACCTACCTTACCATATGTGCCCCAGTGTGCCGCCTTATGGGGGAGAGAAGGGGGAGGGGTAATTCCGTGTTTTTGTTTCCTTTGCTTTTTAATACTCACACGCCAAAGTTTTATCCATCAATTTCAGTGGGAGAGTGTTGCATGCTGATGTTTAAATGCCAGTTCAAAGTTCTGGTGTTCTTACACCAAAGAGAGAGGGAACTGAAACTGCTGAGTTGTGGTGTGAAAAACATCACATCATGTTAAAGTTATACTCCTGTATCTGTTCTCAAGGGGGTTAATAACTGTATATATATATTTAGTCCATCTAAAGGATGCAAATGAAGCCCTGTGCCACTAATGCGATATGCACAACCTGTGCGCTTGTGCATACATGTTTGCATGTGCACGTGTGTGATTCAACAGTGCAGATAGAGCCGTGATGCTGCTCTGCCGTGTGCTCTCCCCCTGGTGTTTCTCCTGTACAGAGTTGGAATTTTAATGCATGCTTGCGTGACTATACCAAGGACTCTGTCTGTTACTCCCTCATCACGGTTTATTTTCTCTGTCTTCATCTCCTCCTATTTTCCCTCCCATTGCAGAACACTTCTTCATTCCTCCCTTATTTTCCCTTCCCTGCAGGGCTGTCAACTCACCCGCATATCCTATTTCTCATTCCTCCCAGAGGACTCGCATCACACCAGTGGCTATCATCTATTGATAATATTATCTACCTGGACTTGAACCTTTGTGACCTGTCACCCCTGGGGACTTGGACATGCTGGATAACCAATCAAGGCCCTCATTGGTCACGGGTGGCAATAGATGCTCGTGACAGTTGTAGCCTATAATCTGAAGCAGAATATGAGCGTATACATAATTCATAGAGTCAAGTCATACGGCCTTGAGCGATGCTGCTGAGAAAGTTAAGTGTAGAAGCAGCCAACCAGGAGGAGGTCTGTGTGCATCTGCCAGTGCAACAGTTCGCTCGTTGTAAAATCTGATCTAGGAGCTAATTGAACCTGACGTGAGTTGAGAGTGCATCGTGGTGTGGTGCGCTGAGAAGCAGCGGGATTGCTCTGAGTTTGATGTTCCTAAAATGAGAGGTGCTTTTTAAAAATGGCTGGTCTAAGGAATCTTTAGTGGGTCCCTAAGTTTCCTAAGTGGAGGCAGATTTGGCTGTCAGGTACATTCAAAGTGTCCAACTTTTGTTACTTTATATCTATTCTGGTTTAAGGTTGTTTTTCTCTTTGTCTGCATTTTACACACCCTCCAACACATGCACACAATCACCAACACAATTGAAACATTGAGCAAACAGAGACTCCAGCAGGGTCACCACATTTTTGCAGATTTCTCAAACCAATGGGTGGAGGGAAGGGGAAGAAATTATTAAAATGTGCCATGGCCACACTGTGCTCTTGGAGTAATTAAGTCAACAGCAATTTCAGTCCGGCGGCTCTATATGGAGTGTGTAATGTATTTCAATAATGACAGTGCACAGCTGCAAACAGGCTCGTGGTCACGCTCTCTCTCCCTCAGCTAATCCTGTGCAGACCACTCTGATGGGGCGTGAGTCCAGCCCTGCTGCCTGGCTGTCATTTTTCTGGGAAAAGGAGGGACGGGCAAGCGGATAGACGCAGAGAGAAAGCAACAGACAGACCAGCCTGTTTGTTTTCCTGTGTTGCCACTCACTCGTCTGCATGTGTGCACTCATACACACTTACCTACATACTGCGTTGATTGCCATTTTTTGTTTGAGCGCGTGAGATTTCAAGTGCCTGTGTGGTTACGAGCCGGCATGTTCGTTGTTGCGTATCTTTCGTAAATGTTTACTCAGTCCGCAGTGAATACACTCCGACCCCTCCATGCTTACAGAGGAGGGTTTTTCAGCATCAGCTCGGGCTTTGAGCCCATCCACTCTCATCCGGCCACAATGGCTAATCCTGACACAGGCAGCAGCGGCGAGCAATCAGCACTCACAGCCCAGAACATAATGGAAACCTGCCTGGCTGCCTGTCTGGCTGTCTGTGTGGATGACTGGCAGGCCAGCTCCTTATCTGGATGTTTGCCATTTGTGCCTCTGTGGCTGTTTCGATGGCCGGGCAGACTGTGTGTTGGACAGGGGTTATGTGAAGTCTCTGTGTCTATACAGGGAGAAGTAAAGCACTCTAAAAATTGCAGTGAACGAATGATGAGAGAAACCAAGAAAAAACATGATTATTAACATAAAAAAACTACACTTGTGTCTTTCTGTCTGCCAGGCTGCTTACTGTGAGTCTGACTGCAGTGCTGATGCAAGATAACTGGCCAGTTATTCCTAGTTCAGCATATCTGTGTGATAATTCATGTTTATATTCACAGGTCAGGTGAAAAACAGTTTTAGTGACATGTTATTAAAGCACAGTCTTCTGCTTATATTTTCTTATTATATCACATATGGAGGTTTTCAGTCAAGCAGAAGGGTTGATGGTGTTGGTGCCACTCATGTAGCTTATGATTATACATTTAAATATATTAATTCATCTTTGATGTTTGAAAACCCCAGATGGATCTTTAAGAACACTTACCACTGATGGATTTCAAGAATCCCTGAAGTCTCTTGTAATTATCCAGACTAAAAGATATTCCAATCTGTCCATAGACCTATTTCCTCGGTCAAAACGAGTTGCTGCGACATGAACAGGTCAAAATCTTTTTTACTGCATGGGTACGTTTTTCATCCAGATGATTAGAACAGTGACAATTCTTAACATATTGACATAAAAGTGCTAAATGTTAAAGGTTAACTATCTTTTAGAGAAACCGTTGGTTACCTCTGATTGTCGGCTGATGGATGAGAGGGACAAGTTGAGGCTGTGTCAGGAGTGAAATATCTCAACAACTACTGGATGAAAATGTGTGCAAAATGTGAAAAGAGAAAAAAGTTAATTCCAGTACTTATTTATCACCTGTATGGATTTACAGACAAGGTCGATATTTGAGTCACAAGGACCAATCTGAAAACTTATCAACCATAAAATGACATAGTGCTTAAATAATTCAGACCCTGATTGCATATAATCCACAGCTATAAAAGGTCAGTGTCCATGATCCTTTGCAGCAGCTTCTTCTATCAAGAGTTGAGTCTATATAAATACAGTATATACATACCAAATAGCCCAAGCCCGTAGAGTATACATGTCCATCAGCATCCCATGACATTGAACTTATCCATGTTCATAAAGCAGGTAGACTCAGGGCATTCAAAATAGAACAGGGAGCAGAGCATGGACACTAAACTCATGATATTAAAAGTCATTCACACATAATCATTAAAAAAATGGTAATACACAGGTCTTTTACAAAAAGTCTATGTGCCAAATTGGTTAAAGTTTGTTTGAATTGTAAGTTTCACAGAAGGACCCTAAAAATGTTGATGAGATATTCAAATCAAATGTTTTTACAGGAAATCAGGTCCGGGATTGACCATTATTCCCCTGTAAGACACTGGCAGAAGGTAATACACTTAGTTGTTCATTGACATGATCTTATAAAGTTACCTTTTTGAATAAGAGGCTCAGACATTCTCTGTACACCAACTTGTGTCACTGTCCTCTATGAATATCCAAGGTCATACACTGCAGGTTTTCTCTGCTTTTGAATCTCTGAAATAATTCTAAGTTGTCGTCAAAATGTTCTTGATCCTTGAATCCTAAACATCATAATATCCACCTTTTTTTATTATGGACATGCTAGAGATCCTTCATAGTCTTTTAAGTCTGAGGCCATTTTGCAAAACCTTGGAAGAGTAGCCTTCGACTTTGGGACTCCACTGTATGTGGTGTTCTTCTCTAGTCCATCTAATACTCAAGCACCTGAAGTGTTGCCATTTCAAACTGACTCCCTTGAATGCCTCTTGTGTGGGATTTTTTTAAATAGAGTTAGTAACCTCTGTACCTGAGTCACATTGTTCACAGCCACTTTGTGGACAGGCAATTTTACCTCTCAAAGCCAAATAGCCTCTGTTCTCTATGTGTCACCAACCTCCCATAACCCTTATTACTTCAAATATAAGCTCCCCAGTAAAATTGCCTTTAACGTGTTGTATTTTGGTCTAAAATACTGCGGCGAACATTTTACCAGAAAGCTGAGCTGTATTACAGTAGATGTGTTTTTCCTGTGGTACCTTTCAAATATTGGATCACAGCAAATAGACTTTAATGGGAGGAAATAGGTCTGTCCCTCGGGCTTGTTGCAAAGAGGCAGCCCCAGTGCTTCAGACCTACCTCTCTTTCCCTCTCACTCACTCACTCACTCTCTCTCTCTCTTTCCCCTCCTCTTTTGACTCAACCTATTACGCTGCCGTTTCATGCTCACACTTACGCTAGAGTTTGTGAGCATGCACCATTGTGCACGCTAAAGCTTTCCCATCATAAGGCCAGAGGTTGTCAGGGGGGGTAAATGGAAAGACGTGGGATATTCCGGAAGAGGTGGACAAGAGCCAAGAGAGGCGGATAAGTTAAGGCAAAAGAGCCAGAGCTGTGTGTGTGTGTGTGTGTCTGTGTGTGTGTGTGTGTGTCTGTGTGTGTCTGAGGGGATGTAATACCAGATTTGCTGTATGATCAAGGTCTGCTGTCACAGCTTGATGACAGGCCAAGGCAGTCACTATTGTGTAAGCACAAACTTAGAGTTCGAAGGTCATTTAATCCGATTTTTTTTTTCCCCATCCAGAATGTTACAGGGAGAAGATTTGTAGTCACCTGTGACATCCACATTTTCAAGTAAAGATAGTTACTTCAAACGTAAGTCCATGAAACAAAATAGCACAGGGACGGTAGCCATTTTCTTCTTTATTTTACCAGAGCTACAAACAAAGATAAAGTCCTCTCACACCAGATATGTCTATTCCTGTCTTTCTTTGCTCAGAGGTGTGTGAAAAGACACTTTGCATAAGCCAGTCTCATCTACTTGCGGAGAGATGGAGCGAGAGAGTAAACAGGATTCCCTCTGGCTGCTGCTTTCACCTGCTGGGGGTGGACTGCAAAACCAAGGCCAAATTCACAGAGCTAAAGGCTTTTCATGCGAAGCTCCGGTTTTCAGCTGAAAAACTGAGACGCCAATGAATTAAATATGACTTGATGAATACCATATGACTGTTTGTGCAAAGGCTGCAAAATATTCATGAGGGGAAAAATTGCGATCAACACTTTTTTTGTGTGTGAATTTCCAGAATTTTAAATAACTTGCACTTGACATGGATGTGGCAACTTCTGATTCCTGTTTTGCAACATGTTTAACAGCTCTTTGTTTGGATTTGAAATGCAAATGACTGTCATGACCTGCATTTGCACTTTGTTGTTTCCCATTTCCAACCATTCATGACATTTTTATCCTGCTGTTGGAAACCTCTCAACCTTCTCTCACCTATGATGTCCTCTTATCATTTACTAATTCGGCTTTACATGTAAAATGATTGTCAGTTTTGTTCATTCACACCTTTTCAAGCTCTCACTCTCTCTCTCGGATGCAGGTGTCCACCTCTCATTTACACCAATCTCATCAAACAGGCCATCAACAGCAGCCAGAGGGTTTCAACATGCAATATTTAAGATCTCCATTAGTGTGAGATTGTTCGGAGGAACCGTGAAGACTGTTCCTGCATCAGGACAGACATTAACAATCATCACAAAAAGGTTAGATGAGCAGCCAGGAGGAGTTGGGGGGTCGGTAGCGTAGGAGTCTGCATGGAAGGGGTGGGGTGGGGGGGTTAAAGGAAACAGAGAGAACAGATCAATATTGAATAAAAGCAGAATTCAGTGTAATGGTACATGAAAATATCAGCAAGTGTTTCTCTCGCCTCACGTTTCCTGTCTGGTAGACAGCGAGATGACTTCCCGTGAGAGTGTCGTTGAGGGAACTTCCAGCGCAGCAGGGAGTCTGACTCATCCTCTGTCTGTTTGACTAGTGCACGATGATTCAGACACAGACACATCTTCTCCACATTCCTCAACAGTGTTGGTACAGCTGGCTGCTTACTGTGTATGGCTCTCTGATTTAAAGTAGGTGGTGACCTGCAGATTTGTTTGCACGTGTAAATATATGGATTTAATTTGAAGCATTTAGAAATCTCAGTGTGCATTTACAGATGTGTGTCTTGTAAGCTTCACAAATCTTGACACATACAGATTTACAGATCTCAGTACACGTTTACACTTGTTGTATTTATTAATCCCATCACTCATTTACAGACTTGTTTGCACATTTATTATTTGTATCAGTAGTTTTGCACATGTATGGTTTCTATTGCACATCTCAGTACACATTTACACATGTGTTTGCATATTTACAAATCTCAGTTCTTATTAAAATAATTGCTTGTACATTTACAGTTCTTTTACACATTCTCAATCCTCAGTACACTTGAAAATCTAAACACACACTTGTGGCACACACATATAGTTTGAGATACCAATTTGAAACTTTTTCTTTCCACTTTCCAGAAGAGAAAGAATTATATCAATACTATAAATAATGGCAGAAAAACTCAAAATGTCAGCTTACGGCACTGCCAACAATTGACACAATACAATTTGTACAGTAGGCCAGATTTTGACCTCTGGAAAGTTTAAGAAAACTGCAGGATAGTTCTTGAGTTATAAATGATCTGAAATAAATTTCGAATAGTTGTATTAACTCTATAGAAACCTGTATATACCACTAATGAAAAGTCAATGTTTGATGCCACTACACGCTATTGAATTGAAGAATAAATCATAGAATAGACTTTAGCACTTTGCACTTCTACCCAAAATTGCAATGTTAGAGAGGGTTGAGAGATACTTACAGAATTTCCTCCATCAAACGCTTTGGATGCAGTTATCTCACAAAATCAGCAATTAACTACAAAGAAGCAGAGACAATTCAGTGAATTAGGCAACCTAATTAACTTTCACCATGAGAATGTTTTTCTGGCAAAACACTTCTGATAGCAACACAGACACTCATGTGTGTGTGTGTGTGTGTGTGTGTGTGTGTGTGTGTGTGTGTGTGTGTGTGTGTGTGCAGGTATGCTAACATGCTCTGTGCTGTTGGTTTGTGTGTTAGTTCATTTTCTACTTTCATTAGACACATAAGGACTCACTGCTGTCCTCTGCCCAGCTGTGAAAGTAACAGCCTCCAGGTACATTGATGCACCATTAATTCTGTGGCTTTGTGTTATTTTTTGCACATACACAATCATGCCTACACACACACATAAGCATAAATGCAGCCTCTCCATTCACGCTAGCTGATACTAACATCATGAGCTCCTGAGAGGAGCTTTCTATCACTGTCTCCTGTAAAGTGGCGCCCTGTGTTTAGTGCCACATTAATATTTGGAACGCTCGCCTGTTGGTCGCTTAATCGCATATGTTATTATTATTCTGAAAGCAATTCATCCGATGATGACCTTGAAAAGAAAAGAGCTGTAGGTCGCGGAATATTGATTTAACCAGTCAACTCATCCAGTTTTCTTTGATTATACTCTCACACACTCTCGGGCTCGTCAGTAGTCATACCTTTAACTGTGGCCCCTGAGAAGGAGACCTATCTCAGCAGGCGACAGCTATCAATCCAGCCCTGGGGTCGATGGAGGGATAGAAGAAAACCTCTTTCATCTTTCCTCTGACTTTGACTCAATCTCTCTCTCTGTGCTCACTCTCCCTCCCTCCTCTTAACCTTTCCTGTGTCGGCAGATTTCTGCACTAGTCTGAGAAAGTTCTTCGAGTCTGTTCTGCCACAGATGCACTGGCGCATCTTTGTTTTCCCGCCCCCTGCCCTTTTACTACCATCCCCGCCCCTCTTCACACAGATTTGTGTGAACGTTCCGTCACACACTTGTGGATGAGGAAGCAAATCGACAGAAGGCATCTAACTCTCCAGTGCTGTTAATGCTGTGCCTGTAAGTACTTGTTGAATGTCTTGGCTGTTTACACAAGCAATCACTCATATCCACTTTCGGCCGGGACTCAGTGTATTTATGGTTATGGTCTGATTGGAGAATTATTCTTCTTTTTTTAAAGCATATTTGAAGCACCATTGTGGTCTAAGACAGTTCAATTATCATTTGGAAATATGAACAACTCTCTCTCAAAGCCAGAAATTAGAAAGCTATGTAGGACATAATAAAAAATGGACCGAACCTAGGATCACTCTCCCAGTTTTAGTGCATGCACAGCAGGTTTTATATTTGCCAAAAGGAGTGTTTTAGTGCTTTGTCATTTTTCACAACAGCCTTATTTCCATCTCTTTCTGCGTCTCCCCTCCCCCCCCCATTCCATCCCTCCCTCCATGCTTCTAGACAATCTTTGCATCACAGTGTTTTCTTCCTCCATTCAGGCCCCAGGGGAAAATCCTGGTTTCTGCCCCCACCCATTACCTCATCATCATCCATCTGGGAGGCAGGATTAGCACTGCATGGGACATTAGTTCCATTACCCAATCATGACAGGCCACCAGCCCCGGCCCACGGACTCTCCCCTTGCTCTCACACCGTGCTCCAACTTGTACTTAACACAAATTACAAAAGTGTTGGGGCCGTATCGGTCTTTCACTGGGTCTTACATGATTAAATTATGTTGGAGTCATTTTTCCCAATGTCACATGTTCTTTACTTCTTGTCTCAAGTGCCAAGCTTGCTCTGCCAGATATGGAGTGTTAATTATTATTCTGTGTAAGCCTGTATTAACTGTAAATGCAGTGAGTCATTAGATGGTTTGAGACTCAAAGACTTTTATGGGTTTTTCAAAGGAGTATGTGTCCTTAGTGTATGTTGCCTCTAAACAGATGTTCCAAAAACGTTTTTGAAAATGTTCCTCTAATCCAATAAAGAGGAGGACAGCATCACTAACTCTGGCCTAAACTTCCACACAGCTCGAACCAATCAATTCGATGTATTACCCATTCCCCTAACCTCAACCCCATATCCCTAAAAATGTTGTTTAATGCTCCTTGGATATGTAGTGACCATAACAGACAAGGTAATGTTTGCAGCTTATGGTATAGAAAACTGCCTAATGAGGATTTGTATCTTTCCATCAAAAATAATATATTTAGACAAATACGATCTTTTAAGCTGAGCTGACATTCACTGGTCTGTTTTT